GGATCAAAGTTGATGGATAGAATGACGTTGATAGAGTTGATGTAATGGTAATTTGATGGAATGGGGATCCAATGTTTGATTGTCGGATGGAATTGGCCAAGTTCATGGAAGCAAAAGGTGTAGAAGTAGATGTTCGTTTTAACCTAGATTTCTAACCGGATCAAACCGAGTCAATTCATTTAAAATAAAATAGATCCTAAATCGGCCGAGTCCAAAATCTACCTGCCAAGCAGGTTTTATAACAGTGGCTTGATTTACTGTTTAGAAATAGTTGCATCTTTTTATAATTTCATGTATTTGCCCTCTTTCAATTAAATGGCACAATATGATTAATTTGGATCAAAATCCCAAATTAATCTCATAACCCTTTATTTTTTATTTATTTATTTATTTTATCAAATCAATCTCAACCATCCATTCACCCATCCTTTACATGATACCCGTCGTCAATCAGATACAAATTACAGTAACAACCTTGATAAATCAATAACCTCAATTAAATGATATTTTTGTTAAAATTTTAATGTCTTGATAAAATAATATGACAATTAATTAATAATTTTTTTATGGTGCCAAAGATACTGTTTTGTAGAGGTTTAACTATATAGGACAATTATCATGCTTACCAGGAAGGCATTTCAGCAACAATTTTCTATACAATGTGCACAGAAATTGCTTGACCTTCTCCATCCAAAAAAGCAGCTGCAGTCCCACTATATTGCAAAAGAAGGAAACCCTGTAAATTCAGTTGTCTACACGAGGCCTCTAGAGGGTTGTTATCGATGTGAATAATATGCATTCTTACCGAGAAAAAGCCGTAGCTGAAGATAACTCGCATTTGTCCTTAATCTGGAGAAGGTAACTTTCATTGATGAATCTGAAAGGAGAACAAGAGCATATAAAAATATATCAGCTGAAACTCATCATTAGGGGCATGGAAATGAGAGAGTAAGATCCCTTGATGCTTGAATTATCAAATAATCCCTTTGTTTAGGACATGTATTTCAAGAACCTACCAGATTCAGGACTCAACTTTGGAGAGAGGCCACGTATTGCGTACTTCACATAGGCTAATAGCCTGACATTCTGTGGAGCTCCCAGCTTCCTGATGACTGACCTGAGGAGGCCACTGCAAAAGAACAGCCGGCCAGTAAGGGCTGCGCAGCTACTTTATTAAAAAGTAAATGATTAGGACATTGGACTTTTCTTACTCCGTGCGCAATATAGTGAGAAAGTCAGGTGGTAGAGATTCCATGAAAGAAAATAAGTCATCCACTTTCAAATAATTCAACTCCTGCTTCAAGCTACTTTTTTCTTCATCTGACATTCCCTTTCCAAGAATTGCTTTACTGTTGCATGAACCAAGCTCAGTTAGGTCTCTAATTTAATTGTTAGTATTCAATGATAAAATGCCACTAGATCTCCATTATATGATAAGAAATGCTAATTCACAGGAACAGACCAGTGTAACTACGTTTCACTTGCGGTCTTTGTTTGGGTATCCTAAAGCGGGGTTATGTGCTGTGGAATGCTAAAAGGCACATTCAGTAACACAAGAAAAGATAAAAATTAGAGATACCCAAGGAAGAAAACGAGTATTTGTGGAGTAACACAGGGAGTGCAAGAAACAGGAGGTGATGAAAGAATTAAGAGTGAAAGTTAGAACCAAGTCAGGTGACAATCTTATATACCTAGGAATCATAAAAGCCCAGTTTCCAGGTTAAATACTGAGTTTCATATTTGGTGTTATACTGTAGCGCCTCAAGAAAAGTGTACCACATAATACAATTCCAGAATGGTCCCTCGTACCACTCTACATCATCAAGAAGACTTCAATTATCACCCCCATCATCTCATCACCACTACGGTCGACAATGATATTATTAACAAAAATCTTTATTTAATTGCAAACTCATTCAACAATTAACTCTACCATCACATGGTAAAAGATAAAAACAAGAAAAATCACCTGTTCATGGTTCTTCCAAGAAAAATGACAGGGAGGTATTTAGCATACTTCCCAACACCAAGTCCTTTGCCAAGCTGCTGTATTTTACGTGTGTCTTGAAGAATCATAGCTTTCCACAGCTGACAATAGTCTTGTCTAAATCCTTCATCCAATTGTTTGTAGATTCCATGATCTAAAATAACTGCAGGTGTATAGCGAAACAACTTCATACTACAAGCTGTTTTCACAAATGAGAATTTATTTATGATAATTCAAAAATCAACACATACCCAGAGTAAAGCCATTTGGACCTTCTGGAGAAACTAATATATTTCCAGGGTGTGGATCTCCATGCACAAATCCATGTAAGAATATCATCTCAGCAAAGATTTCCACCAAAGCTTTTGCAACCTAATATACAGACTAAGGGAAGATCGGTAAAAAATATTAATTTAGTCAGCATCATGCATTGTAAGTTTTAATGATGAATCATGACCAGCCACACAATAAATATGATGTCCTCGATTTGTGAACGTTTACAAGCAATCTCAATTGTAGGAAACTGAGTATTTGTTATAAATTTAGAGAAAAACAGCCTAAAGGGGACTCATGAAACCAACCTTTATAGGATTTATTCTCGTTTCCTTCATAAATTCCACATCATCAACCTGAAATGCTAGGAACATCATGTTAATAGCACGTAGCAGTTTAGCCAAAAGCCTCATAATAATATAGAGACCAATTAAAAGAAACAATTACGTTTCAAAATGATACCATGAACGGGGCTACTATGTAATAGGTTTTCTGAGAAGTATCAGAAAAAGTTGTCCATGATTTAACAACAGTTCATCATGGAAGAAATGTTCATCAGTTATGTTATATTGTAATTGTTGTTTAAAATGATGGTTTAAAAATCTTGAATTTTAACACCATCAAAATTTTGGAAAAGTGAGCTAGGTAACCGATACTTCTCCTTTAATACGTCCCAGAACCTTTTAGTTTAGTGCCCAATTTAGTTCCCTGTAATTGGTAGAAAAATTGGTGCAAAAATTGGAGTCATAAACCACTATTTGTTAAAAGTAGCACCTTTTCTCTGCTGGGAAAAAAATAAAAAACGCTATTGGTTATCTTGGCAATTATGGTTCCGGAACCCATTTTGTTGCCCAAGGTTTTGTATTAATACATTAATGGCAGCCTCTTAAAAAATTCAAGGCCCGCATAGAACTGAAATAGACCTTCTAAGTTCATTGGAATCCTAATCACAAGACAGATGCAGCAAGTTCAAAATCCATACCTTGTGCCCCCAACAAAATTGCATTGTCAAAACCTGACGTGTGGTCACCTCCTGGAAATTGTAATATGGTCCTCAGAATTACATTCACCAGTACGCACAAAAAATTTGACAATGAGCTGTTGGTAAAGGAAAATCTCAGTCATCCTACCCAAAATACACGAGGAATCCTGACAAAATTGTTATTTTTAAAGTTTTTGCCAGTTTTCTCAGAATTTCTTGCCTCCTGAATGAAATCTGTGAAACATGGAAAAGTGAAAAATCATATCTTTCCAGTTAATCCTAAACAATGACAAATTAGACAATTTTTTGTGTATCCTCATCATCTCAAATAAAGTGAAATAAGTTTCACTGATGCTAAGATACTAAATATATCAACAGTGGTCTATGGTTAAAGCATGTACAGACACCTTTTCGCTGAACTTAGAACTCTTAAATTGGTGCATGAGATGTTTGCATTGTCTGTACAAGAAACTCAAACGGTATTACAGAGCCACTAGAACCATTATGCATGCGAAATCCACTACAAGCAGCAAAATATTTTGGTGGGAACACCGGACTCGAGACATTGTTTACACACTCGTATGATCATAGATAATGAAGGGTAGCCCAAACCATTAAGAGATTGAGTTTTAACTTATGTTTTGGTTTGATTTATTTGAACTTTTAATTCAGGTTTATTAATTAGACTTTATTTGTTGAGCTTGATTTAATTATTATTGGATATTTTATTTAGTGAGCAAGAAGTTCAATTGCTTATTCTAGTTATGATTTTAGTATTTATATCCTATTTTTCTAAATGTTATAAAGTTTTAATGAATTAAATAAAAATTTGCAAAGTTGGACTTTTCCAACCCCAATTCTTCTCTTGTTCGGCTTCTTCTTTTTTTTTTGTTAGCTTTTTTTTTATTAGGCTTCAAATCTTCTTCTTTTTTCCACATCCGATCTGGTATCAAAGCATGGTTTTTTAATTGATCTTATAATAATAAGATCTATGATCTTATTTAAATTCCTGATACTTAATCTGGTTCATAAACCCTAAATTTATAAGAGATCTCATCTAGTAAACATGTGATCTAGAAAAAAAAAAAACCTTCAATTTTCTGTTTACAGCCGGGAAAAAAAGACTATTGTTCATCCTCTCCACCAACAAAGGCAACCATCCACACCAGCAAATCCTCCAACAGACACCAATCGCAGAGCACACTATCCTCACCAGAGAGTAGATCAGGCTTCTCCCAACAGCCACCAAAATCCACAACATTTCACAGCAGCCAAATCAATTCGTCTTCAACAACCACCTCTCACAACAATAGATCAACTGAACCCAGAGACTTGCCATGACAGACAAGCATCTTCGTCTTTTCATCTGCATCAAGTCTTTATAAGAGATCTCATCTAGAAAACATGTGATCTAGAAAAAAAAAAAACCTTCAATTTTCTGTTTACAGCCGGGAAAAAAAAACCTATTGTTCATCCTCTCCACCAACAAAGGCAACCATCCACACCAGCAAATCCTCCAACAGACCAATTGCAGAGCACACTATCCTCACCGGAGAGTAGATCGGGCTTCTCCCAACAGCCACCAAGATCCACAACATTTCACAGCAGCCAAATCAATTCGTCTTCAACAACCACCTCTCACAACAATAGATCAACTGAACCCAGAGACTTGCCATGACAGACAAGCATCTTCGTCTTTTCATCAGCATCAAGTCACAAGGATTATTTCTTTTCTTATTTCCAAGAGCAGATCTGTGTGAAGACTGCCACAAGCAACATCAACAAGGAAACAGGTTCTTAAGGCAGATTAATTAATCCCTGCCATGTAATCAAAATGTCATCAGCCACGTTAGCACATACTGCCACATCAGTCGCCATGCTAGCACATCAACCACATCAGGCACCTGTAATCACACTAGCATCTATTGTTGCGTCATCTGACACGTCACCCAGTACTACCACGTTAGCACCATGTCATCCAGCAATACTCCCAAGCAATCCAGTCAATAAATTTATCTACTTTTGATTTGTTGAATTTTGCTTTGCTAGTTTTGCTCTTGTCATTTAAAGTTGTTATTAATATTACTTGTGTCAAAAAAAATTCCACCTTGGAGTTTACCTTTTAATTTTTGCCCATCAACTTCTTTCATCATTGATATCTAGCATTTTGTCCTCTTGCATTTTGTCCTCTAATACTTACTTGTGACATTGTGTTTGATTAATCATTTACACTTAAAGATCTATCAATGCACACTTTAAATTTTATTAGTATATTTTGTTCTTGATTAATCTACACATTAAAAAAAAAATAGCTTTATTTTTGTATTGTGATTTCAATTGCAAGAACTATTTGTGATCTCAATTTCACTTTAAGTTAGTTTTACATGCATTTGTATCATGATCATTTAGTGTTTAAATTTAAGTCTACACTTGCCATAGACTCAACCTAAACAATACTCTTAGAACCATTTGAGGGTAACAGCAAACCTAGATGACCAACATGTTTAAAAAAATTAAACCCTAAAAGAGTTATCAAATAAGGCACCCAAACACCAATAAATATCACAAGTATAACCATTATAGGCAAGTTCACCCTGAGAGCCACCAGTACGACTATCATTTAGGTTAAATTAAACACGATGACCTTTATGAGAAAGTCATGAGCCCTAACAAAATAAAAGTCCCCACTTTTGAAGATCACAATGATCCTTGGATATTAGATATGTGGATTCGTAACAGAGATCAATTCTTTGAGCAACATAACTTGTATGATAATAAAAGAGTTAGATTTGTTAAGATGATATTCATTAGTGAAGCTCAAATTTATTGGAGAGATAGCATTGTTTAGAGATAAAAGATAAATCTCGTATAATTGATTGAACTAAAATGAAAAAAACACTGCAAGAGAAGTATCTACCTCAATCTTATAGGAATAAACTCTTAGACCAATAAAACAATCTAAAACAAGGGAACGAGTCTATCAATGAGTATATAACATAGTTTAACAATTACATGATGAGATGTGTTATAAGAAAAAATAAAACCATGACTTTGCGTGGATTTTGTAAAGGTTTAAATGATAATTTTATAAAAAAGGTTAGGCCCATAGGTGCTTTCACTGCTGACTAAGCCTATATTATAATGCAAGATTATGAGTAGATTATAGAAAGTTAATTGACAAAATATCAAGACCCTCTTAGAAACCCTTTTAGGTCTCAATTTAGAAATAATGATTCTTTATTAGGTATTTCACCCTGTAGACCTAATGCTAATAGTACCTAGATTTATAAAGAAGATAAAGGCAAACGAATCGTTAATGAAATGACTAGGTTGAGTTTAGAGGTTCAGCGTGCTTATATCAAGGTTTCGGTCATATGTTCTTCAACTACACCTTTAAACTCTTAGTATTAAGAGCATAAGGATATATGTGGGAGGAAAAAAAACACCATTGTGTGCAAGCATATGAACTCAATCCTATAAACTTTAGTGATCTAGATGAAAAGGATGTGCAAGAAAAGAAAATTAACACTATAAGTCCAAATAAGTCTGGAAATGAGGTTAATAAAGAAAATAATAATCCTACTTTAGTGGTAAAGAAAAATGTTTTAGGAGACTCTTTAGTGAAATTGCCTAAAAAGATAAATATGATCTTAAAAGAGTATCATGATATTAATCCTCTGAAACTACTTGATTCTCCACCTACCATGCTTAACATCCAACATGTCAAAGGTTTAGAACAACATACTCTTCACCCTCTCATGCTTAATATCCAACATGTCATAGGTTTAGAGTAACATGATGAACTCCATGATCCCTTACCCCTGACACATGATGAGGAAGATGAAGATAATCTTAATTTACTAGATTATGTCTATTAAAGCTTCAAATAGGATTTGTTCCACTTCATACCCTCAATCATTTAGTGTTCATAGTTACGAACATAGAAAGCTTGTAGATCTTCTTTTTATGTCTCTTAACTCTAAAATATCTAATTCAACTGAGTCTTTGCAAGTGTAGCTCGTAATTTGCATGTCGAGATCATAAAACATATTCAAGTAAGTAATAAACAATACAAATTTCAAGTTGATTTACATAAGTATTACAGTGCACTTAATGTTGGAGATTATTTCTTGATACAGATGAGACCCAAACAGTGTCCTTTGAAAACCAATCATAAATAAGTGAGTGGTGCTAGACCATTCAAAGTGTTGCAAATGATTGAGTCAAATAATTATGTCATTCAACTGTCACTAAATTTTGATATTAGTTCTACTTTTGACATAAAAAATCTCGTTATATATAAAACACAACAGTTTATTCTTGATACTCCTTTTGATATCCTTACCGTATTATCTTTATCATTAACACAAAAGGAACATATTAATGATACTTTGGATGTACAAGTTGTTTTCACTAGGGATGGTGAACTTCAACGAATCCTAGTATAGGGGCTAGATAACTAGATACAGACTATACTTGGATGATCAGAAAGATATCACAATAGCTTAATCATGATCTTTAGGATCATTATTGGAGCCGCCTTGAACTATACTTAACGGGGTCTAGTTTCTCCAATCTCGGGAGAATTGGTGAGGACACCAGACCCGAGACATTGTTTACGCACTTGCATGATCATAGGCAATGGAAATTGAGCTTTAGCTTATGTTTTGGTTTAATTTATTTGAACTTTATATTGAGGTTTATTAATCAGGCTTTTTTGGTTGGGCTTGATTTAATTATTGTTGAGTACTTTATTTAGTGGACTATAAGCCTAATTGCTTGTTCTAGTCAAGGTTTTAGTATTTATATACTACTTTTCTAAATGTTAGGGAGTTTTGATGAATCAAATTAAAATTTGAAAAGTTGCAAACTTTTCCAACCCCAACTCTTCTCCTCTGACTTTTTCTTTAGCCTTTTCTTCTTAGCTTCTTCTTTCCTTTCTTATGAGGCTTCAAATCTTTTTTTGTTCCGCATCACATTGGTTGGCCATATGATGGCGCAAGGGGGTCTCAAATATTCATTCTTTTCCTATACAAAAAGGTAACTAACTGACATCCATTCTAAACAGTTGAATACTTTAGGTTGGAATATCATATAGCACATACTTTTACCCTTTGTTGCAGGCAATTTTTCATGTTGGAATATGGAGAATGCATGCAGTGAAGAAGTTACAGAAGTTCTTCAAGTGTCTATCAAGGAGATTAAAAATGCATAAAATGAGCAAAGGAATACCACTGACCAAGTTCTGAAGAAATAACCTCTCTGAATTCTGATACCAGCCAGTTAAATCTATAATCAGGGAAAAGCTGTGGAAAAGAGAGGGGGGGAAAGAAAGGGAAAAAAGAAAGATAACTCTAAGCTAGTGGATCAGTCATCAAAATAAAAAGAGTATAAGTTAATTAGGAAGTGAAAACTCCCACACGAAATATGCAAAAAAAAAAAAAAATCAGGAGAATAAACTGATGTCCTAAAAGAAAAGGAAGACATATTCATAATATTCATATTCAAGATTCAAGATTCAAGAGACATCAGATGTGTTGACTGTTACCTTATCCAAAAAAGAAAAGAAAAGGAAGACATATTCATATTCATATTCAAGATTCAAGATTGAAGATTCAAGAGACATCAGATGTGTTGACTGTTACCTTATCCAAAAAAGAACATCCACAGTCTAACGTCACAAAAAGATGATACCACTATGATGCAACAGAGATATAATTTAAATTGTCAAGAGAATTTTATCACGCACCCATGCCACGGATTTTGAAAGAAAGGACATAGTGGTTATGTCTATCTTCATCTGGCTTTCTAACCCAGGGTACTGTACCTACACGCAGAAAAAGAGAAGCATGTTACAATTAAATACATAACTCACAAGAATCCGTAAAGTTTTGAAGAACAAGAAAATTTTCTAACATTTATAAAGAAGGTTTGGAAGGGTATGTTCCACATTCACCAGAGAACATCATATAGATTCTCCTAATGTAATCATCAACTTTATTGGAAGAATCAAATCACAATGATATCAAGTTTTTCCTCTGCAAATTGGATATGTAATGATGGATTAAGATCCACATATGAATCAAGATCCAACATATCCAATAAATAACTGTATGGCAAAGAGTTTGCTTTTGAAAAGGTCAAAAAATAGATAGGCAAGAGAGAGAAGAAGAATCCCAGCATTAATAGTCACAGACAACTTTAATATTGGAAAGTAAGCAAAGATTCAACAAACTAAAGACAATCAAAGTAAAATTGGAAACATGTTATCAAAGGATCAATGGTGTCAATGAATCACATCATCTCCAGTTAAAAGCATTCTTTAACTTCCAAAATGTAGGTCAAGAAAATTGCTTAGTTGCTAAAGCAAAAAATGAAACCAAGGGAGTAAAACAACTAAAGCTGACACCAACCAACCTTGACTGCTACTTCTTGATGATCTTTCAAAATCGCATGATGCACTTGCGCAATCGACGCAGCAGCTACTGGTTGTTCATCAAACGACAAAAATCTGCCATTTACATTAAAATAAATAAATAAATAAATAATAATTCAAAAACAAATGTCCACCTTCAACATCTAAAAAAAAACTGAATCGAAACTTACATATTCTTTAAATCTCGACCCAAATTGCTTTGAAGCACTTGTTTTATATCCTTAAAACTACAAGGAACTGCCTACATTATAACTAAACAAAATATTAGCCTACGAAACAGACACAAATTCTTCATGCAACAAATAAACAAACGGATTTCGCAATAAAAACAATCAAAATTAACAAGAAATTCAAAATTTAAGACCTGGTCTTGCAATGAAGAAAGCATCAAAGAGTATTCCTGCGGTACTTGTTTTAACGAAGCAACAAACTGTCCAGCTTTCACATAAAATCCTTTGTTTTCTTCACATAATTTTAGTATCCTCTTCGCCGATCGTAAATGTACCTTAATTAATTAAATTCAATCAAAATTAAAACTTAAAATATTCACTAAATCACAAGTTAACACAAATTTAAAAAATACGAAAAAAAAATTACTTCATTTACCTCGGATATTTTCTGATAATAAGAATCAGAGTTCACTGGTAGGTTACGGAGAGAGAGTTTGTAATCAGCGATGGTTAACGCAATCTGTCACCAAAAATGGAAACGATTAAAACATGATTCATTAAGTAATTAGTTTAGAAAGATAGAGGAGAGTTTTCTACGGACGGTGGAGATTGCGCGAGAGGAGCGAGGGATGGCGTGGATTGGAGAGGTGATTTTGTTAGTGAAGGAGTCAGTGGTAGTTGCGGTGGTGTAGAGAGTGAGAGCGGCGGTGCCAGTGGTTGCTGTTAGCAGTAAAATTCTAGTATTTTTCGTTGAAGGAAGCTTGAAGTTTTGTTTGAAGGTCATTTCGTTTTGTGAAGGATGGTGGCGCTGGTGGTGGTTTTGGCGGCGAGGTAAAGGAGGTATGGTGTCTTTTAAAAATATTGAAAAACGGTCCGAGTTCTTACAAATTTGTGAGGATTCCAGATCACCAGTATGGGCTTTCAGTAGGCTATACGGCCCATATTTGCTGGTCCAAAGATAATGGGCTTGTACAGTTATCCTTATTAAAAATTTCTTTCGATCAAGGTCCGGAGAGGAAGATGACAGGATTAAAAAAAAGAGAGAGAGAGAAAAAAAGGTGGGGTGTTTAAGTTTTGTCTATTTGGAAATAATTTAGATAAAAAAATCAATATTTATCTTAAAAAAGGTTTATGCTTAATAAAATAAGACAAATAAATATAATTGTCATCGTCTGTCTAAAAATTGGCCTAAAGAAGAGCATATAACTTAATCAATTACTTTTATTAAAATAATATCATTTTATTTTATAAAGAAAATTTAATATGGACATGGACAAATTTAGATTAGATTTAACCAGATAAATTGGTTTATTAATAACCTTGTCGGATTAAATAGATTTCACTGAAATAATAATATTTTTTTTCAATTTAATTTGAAATTTAAATAGATTCGGGTTACCAAATTCTCAGAACAATCCGTTGAATTAGAATAAATTTAACAAATATACTAACAAATTCATTGAAAAAAAAAAGAGCAGCATAATTTGTAAACTATTGCAATTTTCTTTTTTTAGTGGAAAATGATTGTGAATTGCACTCTCCTTTTCCTCATGAAAGCAGATTCTTATGGCTGTATACTGGTAAGATATGACTACAAATTAGGGGAATTATTAAGCTATTTTAATTAAATAAAAAAAATTCACTCAATCACCTAGCCAATGACTGTATGCATGAAATGTATAGTATTTGTAATTGCGGTTGGCAAAATATTTTCTATTTATTTGATCTAATATAGTTTTTTTCTTAATTTTTAAAGGTTTTATTTGTTTTTATCTTTAGAATTTATTTATGCGCATTTAAAAAACAATTGGGCTTAAAAAAATTAAATTAATTTTTTTATTTTACCATTTTAATGTGTTAATGTAAAAACATTTCTTAAAAAATTATTTAAATATATTTTATTTTACCATAATTTTAATGTTTTAATGTAAAAAAATTTCTTAAAAAATTATTTAAATATATTTTTTTAAAAGAAAAAACATACTCTACGGTACCAAACGCGCATTTACCTATTTGTCTTCTCTGATAACTCTAATCCACAGCAAGCGGGCATGCCCTCTCTCTCTCTCTGAAATATCATCAAGAACAGTAGCTAAGAACATCCAAAACTTCAAAGACCACTCCTTTATATTTCAAAGTTATCATCTATCACCATCGGCCCACCTGGCCATCATGATTGTTCATCGGTACACAATTATAGGATGACGAAACCTGGGCTGTTCCATTTGGCACAGGCACCATCTTCATTTTGGAGAGAGAAAACACGTTTGGATGTCGTTTTTCTAAGCACTAGCAATTCCTTTCACATCCCAGCATGTACGTCTCCAGATTAACCAGTCCTTTTTCTGGCTTTCTGCGGCTTGGACGTGTCCCCCATTTTTATATGCGGTGGAGCTTTCCTTCATTTGGATGCACAAAACGTGCTCAAGCCGAATGCATAATTGCTTTCAATTATGCCACAGCAGTAATTTAAAGATAATAATAATTAAGAAACCGCGTGGTTGAGATGGCAATTTCATGTCGATGAAGACTTACCTGAAGCAACTCACTTCATCAGATTCCGGCGAAACTTGGAAGTAAAAAATCAGGTTTCAAATTTGATATAGATACTAGTTTATTTGACTGGAACCAACTTAAAATAAATAAATAATCTTGGACTTCGACAACAAAACTATATATATATATATCGATGGTAGTTGCAAATTATAGTATTTAAATCTGGAATATGAGTACCCGATAGTTACCCGAAACCCAATCAAGTTGGGATAAAGAATGAAAGATTCATACATGTTCCCGACTCATGGAAATCCATTAATATTCCTCCTCCATACCCCTTTCTTCTTTCAGCTTCTTGATGTTTGCTCCAGGGAAGAAAAAGGTAGTAATTCATGAAGCACAGAGGGGGTGAAATTCTTTGGATTTCTAGCTTGACGTTGTAAGCTATGTTAAATACTATTTATCGCCTGTAAGCCCCAATATTTTAGAAATCTCTTATCAAAGTAAAGATTTAATTCAAATTGAGCTCACAGGAAGTGGAAGATCGAATTGAAGCAGCCACGCCTCTCTGAAAATTAGTTGCAGTGATGGAAGGGGAATCTATGAACAAGAGAAAAGAGAGGGCAATTAATTGCCGAGGGCCCATGGCGAATGTTCCCTCGAGGCAGAGGCATCCATGGTGCGTTCACATTGCATTTATAACATGTTTTTAAAAGGATTTAATTTTTTTATTTTTTTATTTATGTTAAATTAATATTTTTAAATTATTTAAATACATCA